TGAGAACATTTGTATTTGTGGAGTTTGCAAATGTCTCTGATTCTCATTCACAAGTTCATGCCAGAATCTTTTTTTCCTTTTTTTCATTTGAAAATATTATATCTCATGTTCTTGCAACCAGTTGGAAAGACAAGACATATTTGTCTCTCCAGTTATGCAGTATTGGAGAAGGAAGCTTCATTTAAAGAAGGAGCAAATAGATTTCATTTCTTTGATTGGTTGATTTACTTTTTTATACAATTTATAGCCTGTGTGGCTCTGGTTGGCTTACAATTAAAAGTAAAGAAAATAGAAAACAGAAAAAGAACCAGGAACAGCCTCAGAAACAACAACCAAATAAATAAATAAATAAATAAATAAATAAATAAATAAAACCAAAAAAGGTCTATCAAACAGGGGCTCAACCTTCATTCTGACCCAGAGCTGGGAAGAATAATCCAGCTTCCGAATGTCATCTGGGCAGGAGCAATTTTCAGTCAGTCTAAACTCTTGGTCTAATGCCAAAAATATATATAATATCAAGAAGCATGAGCTAATATGAAATAGCTTCTTTTAGCTATTCAATATCTCAAAATGTAATATTATTTGAAAGAATCCTAAATCTGCACTGACATATGGAAGGTATCTTGGTATATCACCCACCCTTATTAAGAAAGAGGAAACCAACCATCACATACGGGATAAAATGCTTGAAAACCGACCCATGAAATTGAAGTGGTCCTACTCTAACCAACTGGGATGGTGCCTTTGAAATATCATCTAATATTTTGTATTATTTTTATTCCTTTTTCTATTGTAATGGTTTTGGAATATAGCAATCTGTCTGTAAAAATATTTGTCACTAAATAAATTAGCTAAAACTATTATCATGGAAGAACAGTTAAATAAAATATTTTTTTCATTGATGTGTTTACACCTGCAGGACAACATCCAAACTTTATTGGAATATTTCTGCTGTTTCTTCTCGCCATCCAGGGCATCAACCAGAATGCCCAGCTCTTACCTAACATCACCCTGGGATACACAATTTACGAAGGCTTTTTCAATCCACAAATGACTTCAGATGCTTTGCTGGACCTGCTTTCAGCTGGGGAGGCCAGTGTTCCCAACTACAGCTGTGGAAGGCAGAGAAACACAGTGGCCGTTCTCGAAGAGGCTGAGACAGGCATCTCCATCCAGATTTCAAACATGTTGGGCACCTACAAAACCCCCCAGGTGTGTCTTTGCTGGAAGACAACATTCAGCTCTGAAAGTTTCAGATGCAGTTTCCTCCCTTGGAATCCAAGGACAGAGAGTTAAGATGGAAATGGGTGGCCTTGTGGATGATGGATGAGGGACCCAATGGGAGGGAAGTTATAGAGCAGATGACTTCTCTCCTCTAATTGGGTACAGTTAAAATATTATCTTGAGTTCCTGCTCTCAACAAGCCATCTGTGGGCCATCTTCCCACCAGGCAAGAAGAAAGTGGGGCTTTGTGTTTTTGGCATTGCTTGTTACGCCCTGCGTAACTGTGCTGCTCTGCCACATGCTTCCCGGTGCCATTCAAGGGGCTGGTCACCTCCACCTGACCTCAGCAGTGGAACAGTGAAATGGAGAGAATCTATTCCTTTCAATTGGAAAGAGGCCTGCCAGAAGAATAATACTGGAATTGTGTCCTCCCTCCCTCCCTCCCTCATCTTATAGCCAATAGATTTGCCCAAGGAAAGGGAAGTGGTTGGTCCTTGCTGCCCAAGCATGGGTGGAAGTGCAAAGAAAGAGGGGAATCCACCAGTCAGGGTAAGCACTGATCAGACAGAAATTAGGAAATGCATTTTTAAAGCAACTGTCTTCAGCAACCCCCTTTTCCTAGTTCACTGGAGATAGAGACGCCTTTCAAGAAGAACCAGACCAGGAAGGAGCCCCTGAGCCCCACCACTTGTCCATTTCAAGAACCCAAATGAAAGCCTCCTCAGGGGATGGCAGCTGCTGTGGCACCAATCACTGGGGACATCATCCCACTGGAGATTAGGTGGGCCCCGACCCCACTGACCTTTCACAAGGTCTTAAAGAAAAGGTTTTGTCACTAGGTTTGGGGATCCGGATACATGACCCAGCACATGCAGCAGTTATGCTGGTTTGTCTGTTGCTTGTTTGGATTTCTGTTTTTATGTTGGTTATCAATTATGGTTATTTGTATTGTTATAGGCTGTTATATGGTGTTTCAATTGCTGTTGGCTGCCCAGAGGCATACATTTGAGAGGGGCACCCGTACAAATTGAAAAATGAATAAATAAATACATAATCCTCCATCTCAGCAGATCCTTGGCTATTCTGACAGATATAGCAAATGTCCACCACAAATCAAGACCAACCAAATCCATATTAACCTGTGATTGTTTACAGCCACGCTAACAATCTCCCTTCGTACTGAATTGTGTAAAAATATTTTCTGAGAGAAGCTTGGGGCCAAATTCTCCTGTCTCACCTATTGTCTCATCTTCAAAGTTTGGAGCCCATGTGTGACTTCCCCCTTTGGGCATCTTGCCTGTTCACTCTTTCAGAGTCCAGGGAGGTGGTGTCTCTCCTCCTTGCCATTATCCAAATGATAGTGATTGTCTTGCTGCTAAAACTCTAGAGACTATTCTGGAAACTTTCAAAAGACTGACACAAACACCTCAATTACATTCTTTCCCCTCAATATCCCACCAGGCCTTCTTGACTGATGTCATGGCATTGGAAAGGCTTGGATGCATAAATGGGTCTCGAGAAAGAGAGAGCCTGGGGAGGCTTTTAGGACAGGCGAGAGCTGTGTTTATTCTTCTCCCCTTCAGATGCGAAGCCTCATGCCGACTCTGTACAGATTAAGAAAACTCCTGAAGCTTCTGTCTTGGACAAGGGCTTTGCTTTCTTCTACCTCTTCTTCTGGCTCTTTCTTCAAAGCAGACACAAAGCTGGAGTCTCCATCAGGAACACAAGTCATGTTGCTCCTTGTGCTGCTTCTGTGGCCCCAGGCAGTCTGGGGGAGGCTCAAGGCCAAATGCCTCCTGACTCCAAGGAGGGATGGGGTGGACCCAAACAATTGGTACAGGCCAGGAGAGCTTGTTATTGGGGGCATACTCTCTGCAAACGAGGCTCTGTTTCACCCAGTCAACTTCGACAGAACTCCCCCAACTCGGTTTTCCAGGTTGGTCCGTCTACCTGTACTGCATTACAGCTACTCCATTCTTGAAGGATTTTGGTAGTTCTAGCCTTCCTACATTTCTAGGCATTGTCACCCTGAGCTGCTAGTTTTTCTCCATTTCTCTCCTGTTTCAAGTCTGCGTACCACTGCACAGATATGATGCTCCTTTGAAATTCTAAAGTACACTCATAAATTGTGTCTGTTTTTCCTGACTTTGAAGAATAAACCTCCACTTTCCTTGACATCCTCTGAGCAGAACCAGGTGGTGGATAGAGAAGATCAGATTACCCCTCCCTTCTACCCCCCCCCCTTGCCTCATAAAAGTGTTACCATGGACACAAAAATGCTGGAATGCTGTATTTTTTCCTTCCATTTCAAATGAGACAATTTCTACCATTTTTTTTTTCTGGACCAGAATTCAGTGCTTATATGAGAGAATCCCAGAAGAAATTTTTTGTAATCATCGAGTTGCTAAATATCTGCAAGTCCCATTTGAAATTGATGCCAGGTACCCTAATTATATAATGATTTAAATGTAAGTAGAGCTTCCACTCAGTAGAACTTCAAAAACAAAGCCCGTCCAGAAATTGGCACGTCATGGTCACAGTTGCTCATGTGTGTGTTTGTGTGAGTCTGTGGACTAGATGGCCCAAATGGCCTTTTCCAACTTGATGATTTAATGATTCTATATCCAATTTGGAGAAGAAGTCAAGCTTCCAACCATTAACTATTGGAGATGATCACGTGAGGGAGAGAGAGAATAATTAAAATCAGTCTGAAATCTTAGTCCCACTGTAAGGACATTCACTACAAGAATAATCTTAAGCTAATGATAAATATGTTCCTTTAGACATAAGGTGCAGTCAGTATCTAAAGATGCCATAACAATTGAGGGAATTCCAGTCATCTGGAATGTATGAGATCTGTAGATGCCTCCCACCCTTCTTAGGAGAGATGAAGCAGTCCATTCAAATAGGGGATGAAATCTCCAAAACTGGCTCAACCTTTCTGTTCCTATCACAAAATGGGATAGCGTCTTTGAAATATAATATCTTTTCCTAGTACAGCTTTTGTTTCCTTTCCTTTTTTTTTTTATGTTAATAATTTTTGGAATGTTGTATGCCATTCAGAGGAACTGCTGGGCTTGGGTGGATATAGAACAATAAACATTAAAAGAGGTTAAATAAAATGTTCCTTTCCCTGATTTTGTTCTAATACTTTAATATTTGCAGGACAGCCATAACACGATACTGGAAAATACTCTCCTTCCTTTTTGCCATCCAGCAGATCAACCAGGATTCCCATCTGTTGCCCAACCTCACCGTGGGATATAATATCTATGAAAACTATTTCCATGCAGGAATGACTTCAGATGCTCTGCTGGACCTGCTTTCTGATGGGGAGGCCAATGTCCCCAGCTACAGCTGTGGAAGGTTGAGAAACACAGTGGCGGTTCTCGAAGGGGCCAAGACAGACATCTCCATCCAGATTTCGACCATGTTGGGCACCTACAAAATCCCTCAGGTATGTCTTTGCTGGGGAGACAGTTTTCAGTCATGCAGCTGTAAATGAAGAGCAGAATTTTCTTATGGAAATTGAATGAATTCAGTAAGATCATTCAGGTTATCCAATAGGAGGGAAGGATTGGAGCTAACTTCTTCCCTCCCACCATGCTCCCAATCTGGATTGGGGGAGCTTCTAATTCTTGGGGACACAAAAATTCTCGACTCTTGAAGCCATGTATATGTTGGGTGAGCAGAGAAGTCTTCATTTCAAGGAACAGAACCTTCCCTTCATTCAGAATGGTTTTCTTACATTTTGGGTGTTATGTCTATCAAATAAAATTCCATCTTTCCTTTTTTTCAGATCAGCTATACCTTTGTTTCCCAGATACTGAGTGAGAAAACTCGGTTTCCCTTCTTCCACCTAATGCTTCCTGCTGAAGGAGCCCAGTACCCAGGGATGGTCAAGCTACTTCTGCATTTCACATGGACCTTGGTGGGTCTCCTTGCTCCAGATAATGACAATGGGCAGAATTTCATGAGGACAATGACTTCCATGCTGATAAGGAATGGCATTTGTCCAGTTTTATCACAAACCTTTTCCAACTCTATCTTTCACTTGTTCATAAGTGATCATCCATACCACAACTGGAGACAAGTGAATGTCTTTCTTTATGGTGCTGAAGTGTATTCATTCAATATGGGACTAATTATTATACAAGGAGTCTTTGAAAGTTTTAAGGAACCAGTTGCAGGAAAAGTCCTGATCACAACAATCCGATGGGACTTCACCATTTTTTTGAAAAATACTCTTTCCCATTCAATTCATCCATAGCATTTTTTCATTTCTGATGAAGAGAAACCACATGGGTAAGTATGGTGACGTGATCCTTTTTGACCCTGCCATGCATGACCTTGGACAGACATCCTTTACATGCTCCTACACCAAGGATGCCTTTTCCATAAAATTCTGGAGACGGTGCAAAGAGAGAGAAGAACTGGAGACTCTGCCCCAGGAGATAATTGGTCGGATCCTGTCTCGGGACAACTATTTCATTTACAACACCATCTGGGCTGTGGCCCGAGCCTTACATGCAGCCTATTTATCCAGATCGAAGAGGACAAAGATCAAAGGTGGGAAGAACTTGGAGACTCCAAGTCTGAAAGCTTGGCAGGTATTTTTCTGTTTCACATCTCTCTCCTGCAGCTAAGAATCAGTTTTAAACATGTAAGAACTAGGATCTTGTTCTAAAATATTAAATAATAATAATAATAATAATAATAATAATAATAATAATAATAATAATAATTCAAAGGCAACAATGAAATTGAATTTCAACTTTCCTCTCCCTTTTGTATTCCCTTAATATTTTCCTTTCTTTTGTTGTAGATTCTCTTCTTAAATTTCATGTTGAAGAAAACATTTGGATGTCTTCACTGTTTACCCTTGCTTCCTTGCTTCCTTGCTTCCTTCCTGTTTTTCATCAGATATCATTTTCTTAGATACCAATAATGGTTTCTTTGCTAATCTCTTCATTTGCTTGTATATCTCTTTCCTTTCCATTTTTGTTGGAAGCAGGAGGACCACCATCTCCCACCCAATCCTGTCCCCTTTTTTCCTTTGATCTAGGGGGTTTATTAGATGATGTCACCCTTCTGACCCCTCCCCTATCGGGCTGCCCCTCTGCTCGAAGACTGCCTTGGCTTAGGCACAACCCCATTTCTTGTTTAAAAAACGTTGTATTCCTTTACCACTGTTTAAAACTTTCACGAGGATTGACACCCTGAATGTTGAAGGGTCACAGCAAATGGCAGGACATGGCCAACTTTTTCTGGGCTGAAAAACTATGAAGGCTACTGAGATTGGGGTTCTTGCCCTGGTCAAGCGACCCATCTATCAGCCTGAGGCAGAGTTCTTCTAGCAGAAGAGACCAGTAGAGCAAAGGAATCCATAGTAATCCTTAAGGTGAGCAAAGATGTTTTTCTTCATGAGCTTTGCATTCACCTGTAGAGAGATGGAACAACGTTGTGTCTCTTTGAGGAGCATTGTGTCCCTTTTGACATCAGTGGGCAGATGTCTTCCAGTGAGGTTGTGCGCAAAATCGTTTTCCTTACAGTTCTTAACTTTTGCCTTTAACCTCTTCTTAATAGCACTAGCTCCTCCAATTCTTCTCCCAGAACAACACTGCAAAGAAATTGGGCAACATTGACAATAAATCTAGCAGATGTAGCCTTCACCCACCATACATGTACAGATTCACACCCGCTAAGAAGGAGAGTATTTTAACACAGGCTGAGTGTTAATGAAATAGAGAGAAGGTTTCTGGATCAGAGATGGAGAGAGAGGCAAAGAGGAAGAAGAAGAAGCACCTTTCCTTTGCAGTACTGGATGGCTTCTCCTCACAATTCTGGCTCTCAAGAGTCAGTGTCAGAGACATCCTACAGAGCTTGGAGGAGAGGGAAGACAGGGCATCCCCATCTTTAGCTTCTTGGTGTTCTTTGCCTGGGTCTTCTCAGTTGGGCGCTTGGCTTTGTCAACCCCAGTTCCTCACCAGCTGGGAATGCACACTAGTTTACGGGGTGGGTGTTCACAGACTGGTCCTTTGCTTTGACTAAGAAAAGGAATGGCCCAGGAGGAACTCATGGCTTAGACAACTGACTTTATGTGGACATCCTTTGCTCTATCTCACATTGGTTTACCAAGCACAGCAAAGTACAAGGGAAATGGGAGAGATGAAGGAAATGTTTGTCACCTCTTGGTTTGGAAAGCTCATTCTTGGGTCACATGATTTCTACTCCCTTTTGCCACTTGACAATTGTAGTAGGCACATGGTCAAGGAATTGAGAGCTGATCTGGAGGAAGGTATGAGAGAGAGCGGTTAAAATGTGGAAGAAGGACAAGCCATTAGGGAGGGGCTCAGACAGGTGAATCCACAGTGAAGAGATAGAACGAGGAGTTAGAAAGAAACTCAAAATATGCCCACCTTGATTTTGTTTAGTGGGAAAGAAGGAAGCTTGGAGAGGCTTTCAAGACTGATGTCAGCCCTCCAGAAACAGGCATCCAAGAATGCTGCTTTATTGTTCATGAGTATAATAAGAAAACCTGTCCAAGGTTCTCTCTGACCCATCTCAGCGTTGGTCCAGTTTGTATATAATTAAATTGTAAGTCAGTAGGTTTTACAATTTAATTAATGATAGATTATCTCTTAAAGAACTTGGAAAATGAACCTGATACCTTCATTTGTACATACAGAGAGAAGACTTCACTTCAGCTCCAGCACAAGTGAAGGGATCTTGCCATAGAAGGTTGGATGTCCTGTCTAAAAATACCCATTTTCTCTTCCATTGCAGCTTCATCCCTTCTTTCAAAATTCTCAGTTTTACAATAATTCCATAGAAGGGGTCTATTTGGATGAGAAGGGAGAGCTGGCCTCAGACCTGGACATTGTGAACTGGGTGATTTTCTCCAATATGTCTGTCAGCAAAGTGAGGTTTGGGAGTCTGGAAAGACAAGAATCCCAAGATGTCACATTCATGATCAACCCGAATGGGATTGCAGAGATGGAAGGGCTGAACAAGGTGAGAAAATGTTTATTTCACTCTCTCTGAAGCTCCTAGCACCAGAGTTGCATTCTTTGGGCAGGAAGTTGTTCTGAATGTCATCTAGGTTCATTAAGCAAGGCAATATATTCCTTGCGTAGATGTCAAGCTGTCTATGAGAAATACACCCTTAAATATTTAAGTAAACTATTTATTCATCCTGTGCAAATGTAGGTAGATTAGAGCCATTGAGAAAGAGGATTCATTTTGCCAACGCAAAATATCTGTCCAATCTTTCCTTGAGTAATTTAGTATCTAAATTTAGATTCTAAAACTAAAAATTATAGTGTGTGAAAAATTAGAAGAGAGGAAAATATGGAAATAAGATAGAGCTGAATATGTTCAATGAATGTTTTTACAAACTTCGAAATTGAGTAAATATTCCTCCTTGCATAAAATAAATTTATTTTCTGAATGTTCTTCCTCTCTGTCCTCAGCCTCTGCCTCCTTCCAGGTGTGTGGAACGCTGTCATTCTGGATTCAAGAAGGCGGTTCAGGAAGGGAAGCCCATCTGCTGCTACGACTGTCTTCCTTGCGCTGAAGGAATGATCTCCACCATGGAAGGTGGGTGACACTGAAGGAAAGGGACAGCTCAGAAAAGTGCCTTCACTTTGATCTTATCCATGCAAGGGCTTTTCAAAGGACTGTCTTGCCTTGACACCTTTCGTGTCCATTTCTCTCTGTATTTGTAACCTGGGGTAGCAGATGAAAAGATACTGGACCATCTAGGGCTTAGTGTTACCATGAAGATGGGATTTCATGGGCTTCATCTTGTCTGCAGACCTTTCATGTT